TATATATATATATATATATATATATATATATATATATATATATATATATATATATACACATGCACTAGAGGTCATTGAATTGTGATGATGTAAATCCTAGATTAACAAGAGGTTTGTGATGCTTGTGCTGGATACAATGGAACTTATGGAATAACTATCGAGAAAAACGTGCAGCTTGTTGCTCCATTCCAATTTTTATATAGCGCAGTTTGACTCAGATACATAGTTTTAAAAATATCATGACTTTTGAAATTTGTGAATGTTGTGATATTAACCATGCGGCATGCCATAACATTTGTGTAGCTAGACCACATTTGAAATTGTAGTCTTAAATATGCCATAACATTTGTGTGACTATAAAAATTTCTCTTTAAGGGCTCGTTTTGGCATGAGAGATAAGAGATAATTAATCCCGGGATTAAATTTGAGATGAGTTTATCCCATGTTTGGTTGGGACAAATCGTGGATTAACTAATCCCGGGATTGTAGTATTTATTTTATCCATTTGAGAGGGTGTGATAATTAATCCTGTGATAATTAATCACGGGATAATTTCCCAACCAAACGACCCCTAAAAGTAAAATGAGAAGTTTAATTAAGTCATTTTGTATTCAAACATAGAAATAATGGTACATAAATTGGAGAGGAAGGAATAGTATATAGCTGACCAGGTCCATGTCTGATATTCCCATATCCATTATCACAATCAAATCTTCCATTCTTTTCAAAGTAGTTTGTTTCTGTTGTGAATCATGCGTTGCACTATACATTTTTCTAATAGAATCTGTTTATAAATATGAGATATTATTACGTGAAGCATCTTGCAGTATCTATTTATTTGTCTTGATGTCTGAAATAAATAGAGTATGAAAGATTTAGTAGTATTGTATGCCCACTTCCAGTATTTATTTATTTATTTTTGTTGTTATCATAAATATGTCTGTAAAGGGTACAGTTTTTGGTATCCTCTATTCTTCTCTTAAACCATGGCTGATATTGATTTGTTTTTCTACCTCTTTACATTCTTTGTTATTCTCATATGCGCCTACTTGTCTCGACTAAAGCAAAACTCTTTTCAATCTGCTACAAACTCAAAATCCTACCCATTTAAAGATGTCATCAAGAATAGGCATAGGTTGCTCCAATGGACGTGTGAAATCTTTGAAAGCTCCTCTACCACCATCAACTTCCATGGGCCCTTCGGTGGCGGTTGGATTTTCACAACCAATCCTTCCAACATCCAACACATTTTCAAGACACGTATAGATATCTACCAAAAAGGTAAAGCTTATACAAAATCCATGGCAGATGTATTGGGGGATGGTATCTTTGTCTCAAATTGCGAGAACTGGAAAACCCAAAAACACCTTTTGAACCATTACCTGAACCAAAATGCTCACCACAAGTTTGTCGAATCAATTACTAGAAAAAAGCTATTTGATAACATGGTCCCCATTCTTTCAACTTTTGCTGCTAATGAAACTATTTTTGATCTTCAGAAAATCATCCGTAGATTAATGTATGATCTTGCATTTCAAATTGCTTTGGATTTCGACTTAAAATATCTGTCGCCAGCTTTACCAGAAACCGTAGTTGCGGACGCCTTTGAGCGTGCGCTGGAGATCAGCTTCAGCAGGTATTTATCAATTCCTGTAATATGGAAAGCCAAGCGATTTCTTAATCAGGGAACTGAAAGGGAGCTTAAACTAGCCATCAATCAAGTACGTTGTTTTATTGAGAAAATTATGATGGAAAAGAAGGAAAACAATAGTTCCGCTGCAGATTTCTGCTCAAAGAACCAAGACTTAGGGGAGAAATTTCTTGTTGATGAAATTCTCAACTTCCTTCTTGCAAGTCAAGGAACCATCTCATCTGCTTTGACTTGGTTCTTTTGGTTGCTCTCTCAAAACTCGAATGTTGAGGCACAAATTATCAAAGAAATAAAAGAAAAACATGAGGAATCAAGGGGTAGTACTAGCACTAGTGCTAATAATTCCATGTATAAGAGAATGGTGTATACACATGCTTCACTATGTGAATCCATGAGACTTTTCCCTCCAGTCCCAAGTGGTGGAATGGATGCAATGCAAGATGATGTTTTACCCGATGGAACAATTGTGAAGAAGGGAATGAGTATAATGTACAATGCTTATGCAATGGGAAGGTCTCAAGAATTATGGGGTTCAGATTATATGAAATTTAGACCAGAGAGGTGGTTGGAGAGAGATGTCAGTACAGGAGAATGGTGCTTTGTGTCGAGACCTTCGTTCGCCTATCCAGTTTTTCAAGCAGGGCTGAGGATTTGCTTGGGAAGAGAGAGTGCATTTCTGCAGATGAAAATGGTGGTTTGTCATGTTTTAAGGAGATTCAAGGTGGTGCCTGCTGTGAAAGGTGTTGAGCCAGTTCAGATTTCATTCCCAACATTAAGGATGAAAGAAGGATTTCCAGTTAGGATCGTTGAACGCTGCTAACAACATCTTTAAACATTATTTCTCTAATCAATTACTGCTATGAACTGGTCAAGTTCGTGTAAGAGTGATTTATCATTTTAAGAAAACTAGCAAAAAGAATGTGTGAGTTTGTTATCTATTTGAGTATATATGGCATATTATCATTTGGGAAGTTAAAAATAATTACCTTTAGTTAAAACTTATTCATATATTCTTTAAATATATTTTATTATAAACGATTTTAATTTATAATAGTTTTATGTAGCTTCTAATCATCCAAATCTTTTGCAAAATTATTAAGAAATTAATGTCCGAATTGAGATAAAAAGTCAGATAACGGGGGAATACGACATATCTATGCTCAGGAGCTCAGGAGATCAAGCAGACCAAGTAGACCTCCTGTGCGGCTGCAAGATTATGTCACTAATCCAGCTAGCCAGACATGTGCATATTCTATCTCTTATATCACCTACTCCAAGTTGACACCTCCAATGCCAGCACATGTTGGCACTTTACTCAGCTGTGTATGAGCCTAAGTCTTTTAGAAAAGCTGCCACTGTTCCCAACTGGATGCAAGCCATGAAGCAAGAAGTGGCATCCCTAGAAGATAACAACACTTGGACCATTGTGGACTTACCGTCTGGCAAAATACCCGTTGGCTGCTAGTGGATATTCAAAGTCAAGTATATGGCCTCAGGTGAAGTTGAAGTATATAAGACCAGGTTAGTGGCCAAAGTGTATAGTCAGAAAGAAGATCTAGATTACACTGAGACCTTCCTTCCTGTGGCAAAATGGTCACTGTAAGATATGTTATTGCTCTGGCTGCTTCTAGACACTGTTTGATCTGCCAAATAGGTGTGCATAATGCCTTCCTCAATGGTGATCTTCTTGAAGCTATATACATAAGGTTTTTGCAGACAGGGGGAGACTCAGAAGGTCTGCAAACTACAGAAATCTCTATATAGCATCAAACAGGCTCCAAGAAAGTGGAACATGAAATTAACTGAGGCTCTAGTGAAGATGGGGTTCCAACGGAGTCACTTTGGCTAATCTCTATTCACCAGAAGAGAAGGAAATGATATGGCGGTAATCATAGTGTATTTAGATTACTTACTTATAACAAGCACTAATCCCAGACAACTGAACCAGACAAGAGAAGACCTACAAACCAGATTCAAAATTAAAGATCTTGGCGAACTTAAATTTTTCCTAGGTATTGAGTTTGCTAGGTCCAAGGAGGGAATTGTAATGAATCAGAGAAGGTATGATATGGAATTAATCTTTGAATTTGGTTTAAGTGGAGCAAAACCTGCTAGAACTCCTCTTCAAATGAATTAGAACTAACCTCAGTGGACTGTGATAATTGGGTAAAAAACAACACTGCAGATGAGTTTCTAAAGGATCCTAATAGCTATCAGAGGTTGGTAGGTAGATTATTGTATTTTACCATGACCAGACCTGGCCTAACTTTTGCTGTGCAAGTCCCATGTCAATTCATGCACAGTCCAAAGACATCTCACATGGAAGCAGCCCTTAGAGTAGTGAGATACACAAAGGCTTGGCTTGGTCTTCTGACGCCTGCCAACAACACAAACAAGCTGATAGCCTATTGTGATACTGACTAAGGAGCTTGTCGCAAATAAGATCAATCACTGGCTATTTGTTAAAATTTGAGAATGCTCTAAAATCATGAAAATCTAAGAAATAAGAGAATGTTTCTAGGAGTTCAGCTGAAGCATATTTTAGAAGCATGGTTGCATGTGCTGCTGAAGTTACTTGGCTGATAGGACTATTTGAAGAGCTGGGAGTGAAGGGGGAACTACCTGTTGATATGTTATGTGATAGTAAGGCTGCAATCCAGATTGGTGCTAATCTAATTTTTCAGGAAGGACCAAACATATAGATATAGACTGTCACTTTGTGAGAAAAAGGATTCTACGAGTAATGAGAACAAAACACGTATCTCCTAAGGAGCAACTAGCTGATCTACTGACGAAGAGTTTGGGCTAGGTGCAACAAGACTACCAACTGGAAAACTTGGGAGTAAAGAACCTATTCAAGCCATCAGCTTGAGGGGAAGTCTTGAAGAGCAGTTACTTAATCCAAGTTGTAGTTGTAGGTCCCACATAAGCTTAAGTCGTTATAATCTATAGAATTAGTTAGGCGGTTAGTGGTTAGCACTTAGAAGAAAATATATATATATGTTGCCTCTTGTACAGCTTTGTAGAGAGACGAATAAAGAAGAAAGTTCGTATAGATACTCAGAAATTCTCTCCTCTTCTTCCCCAAACCTACCGACGTAGCAGAACCTTCCATCCATGGAAGTTTTAAATTATAATAGGGAAAAAGAACACATTTAATAGGTTGAGACACAGAGAGTAATTTACAACCAAAAGCGTGGAAAGCAACGTGTGATGATTGCAGTTAAACCTATCCTTTTTTTTTTCTTCGTCTTAGAAGTTTGATAATGTAAGCAAATCTAAATATACAGAACATGAAATCCACTTATAATTTTGAATAAATCTGATCAGTAGGCCAAAGACTATTTTGTATCCTTTATTTTGCCTCCCATTACTACAATATCTTCTGGTACTTATTTCTCAAAGAAGAAATTTACCAAAGACTATTTTGTATCCTTTATTTTACTTCTCACTGCTACAATATCTTCCAATACTTATTTCTCAAAGAAGAAATAAACCGTACTCTGCCTTCCGAACTCCAACTCATTATAGCTGGACAACGACGACCGCATTTTATATGTTGAATGTCAAGAGAATTGGAAAATAGGAATTGGGAATATACACTGGATAAGAATTTTATGATTTAATTTTATATATTGGATAAGATCATGAGTATACACTGGACTCTGGACTAGTTTTTAGTATTTCCTATGCTACGCACGTTGTGTTGGACTCGTAACAAGAATTCAATAGGAAAAAGGAAATTACAATCCAAAAGCTTCTGACTAGCAAAGGCCATAGATTCGGAGCAACGCGTTTTTCATATATTTTAAATTTATTGGCTCTTTGCTTTTCTAAGTATGCCATATATGTATTGGATTTAACAAGATCTAAACTGAAGAAAAAAATTGACACATAGAAGTAATATAATAAGGTAGTTTTGACCACCTTGATTCAAATTTTATCGTAAAGGTATAAAGGATATCTACTAAGACAACTTTATCTATCTTACCCATATAGGCCACAGAATAATGAATATTTATATCAGCTATTCTTTCCTAAATTTATTAATTTATACTAATAGTACTCACAATTTAGTGACGTTCTGCTCAAATTTATTTCCACCCACACACTCCATCCGTCTTGAAAGAATCACAGGTTTATGAGGTTAAGCAATCAAATATTTTTTCTAAGTGAATGCTGACATTAGAATCTTCAATATATATTTTTTGAAATGAAAGATACTTAAAATTAAAATACATAATTTAAGTATTATAAATCTCAATTTTTCATAACTATATATAGAGAATATTTGAAACCTAATGTAACAATCCGGGCGGTCGTTTTGTATATTGTAGCCCCGTTCCCCTATTTATCGCTTCTTCTATGTTCATTGAAGTTATGTGATTTGTCTGGGCAGATGAATTGGTTCCGGGGAAGTTTCGGAGTGAATTGGACACTTAGTCCCAAGGTTGAAAGTTTAAGTTGAAAGAGCTGACCGGAGTTTGACTTTTGTGTAGGTGACTTCGGAATGGAGTTTTGATGGTTCCGATAGCTTCGTAGGATGATTTTGGACTTAGGTATATGTCCGGATATTGATTTGGAGGTCCGTAGGTTGGTTAGAGAGTTTTTGGCGATAGTTGGAAGTTGAAGGTTTGGAAGGTTGAGAGGTTGGATCGAGAGTTGACTTTGCTGATATCGGGTTTGGATTTCGGTTTCAGTAGATGAAACACGTCTGTTGCGTCATTTGACACTAGTGTACAAAATTTGAGGTCATTCGGAGTTGATTTGATATGTTTCGGCATTTGGTTTTAGAAGTTGGAATTCATTAGTTTCATTAGGCTTGAATTAGGGCGTGATTCGTGATTTTGACTTCAACTAGGTCTGTATCGTGTGTTAGGACGAGTTGGTATGTTTTGATGGGGTCCTGGGGACTTCGGGTGTCAATCGGATTTGAGATTTCACTTAAGAAAAATGCCAAAGCTTTAGGTATGGTGTAACCGCACCTGCGTGGTTTTGGCCGCAGGCACGGAGCCGCGGAAGCGGCCGTTTGTGCACAGGTGCAATATTTGGGAAGGCTATCTGGGACCGCAAATGCAAAGAGTTTTCCGCATCTGTGAGCCCACGGATGTGTTTGGTTTTCCGTAGAAGCAGAGTTGAGCTGGGCAAGGTCATGGTCGCAGATGCGGACGGGGAGCCGCCTTTGCGGGAGCGCAGGTGCGAAGTTTGTCCGCATAAGCGGACTCGCAGATGCGGAAGAGTGGAGGCTTTAGGAGGACCGCAGATACGCAATTGGGTCGCACCTGCGGAACCGGTTAAATGAGCCGCATGTGTGGATTGACTGGCAGAACTTATAATCGAATGGTTTCATGTTTTTCTTTCATTTTTGACTTGTGGAACTCAGCTAGGAGCAATTTTTGAGAGGGTTTTGGTTACAATTGAAGAGGTAAGTGAAGATTCATCAGTTTTATTGATAAATATTGATTACCTCTTGATTATTACACCTAGTTTATGTGTGTTTGAGGTGGAAATTGGGGATTTTAGACTATGTTGTTGGAGAGTAAGATTTGATGATTTGAGGGTCGATTTGTGGTTAGAATTATATGACTTTGACATGGTTGGACTCATAATTGAATGGGTGTTTGAAATTTATGAATTTTGTTGGGTTTGTGGTGCGGGCCCGGGGTTGATTTTTTGGGTTGACTTTCCCATTTTGATTAAAGACTTTAGCTTTATCATTTGAGATTGTTTCCTACGGTTATTATTGATGGTATTAAGTTGTTTGTGACTAGATTTGAGTCGTTCGGAGGCCGATTAGCGAGGCAAGGGCTTGTTGGAGTGTTAATTTGCGCGTTTTGAGATAAGTATCACATCTAAACTTGGATTTGAGGGAAAAAATTTAACCATGAGAACTATGTTATATGAAAACTGTTGGTGTGACGTATGCGCTAGGTGACGGGTGTGTGTGCGTGCACCGGCGTGTTCATGGTTTGGGGAGGCCTTTAGGCTATTACCGGGATTGTTTTGCAATCATATCTTGTTATCCCCACGTTTTCCCCACTTGTTTAATCGTTTGAACTGTGATTCATCTTAGACATCCTGTCTAGGATAAGTGCTATTTGTTTGAGACTTTATAGGGCTATTCTTGCAGTCTCAGAGCTACATGCTTTATTTGTACACATGTTCTCAGTCATGATGCTATACCGTGAATGATATCTCTACCTCAGTACTTCTTATTTGATTCCTCACATGTTGTTGATCCCTTTTATGTGTAACACTATTAAATCGAGCATTTTGAGATGTGTTTATCTGAGATATGAATGGTAAATGATTGGGTTTCGGTCATAGAGCCAGTTTGGTATTGATTTTAAGGTGACGCGTATGTCGGGCCCATATTGGCTATGTGTTATTGTTTGGGCCGACACGTGCTCCAGGCTTCACTATTGGGCTAAATGATTATGATTGGTGTTTGGGCAGGATCTTCACCTCCGGAGTCTGACATACCAGCAGTGGACCCAGGCACATTATTTTATATAGGCAGAATGGCCTAAATGACATCTATATTTGTGCCACTTTGTCATGTCGGTCCCCAAACTTAAAAATTTGCCAATTGAACACTTACACTCCTTCAAATCGTGTATAATAAACGCTTATGACAGGAGGTTGTCAGTGCGTGTAAAACAATCTCCTCCACGTTGGCTGCCACGTCAAAAAATAACAATGTGTAGATGCCATGTCACATGGTAGATTAAAAATAATTAAAATCAAAAATAAAAATAAAAATAAAAATAAAGTTCAAATATTCCCCTCACTCAAATGGTGCGACTATTGTGAACAGTAACATAGCAACATCGGAATGGCCAATGTGCCCTCGTCCGGTGGTGAAAAGCCACCGGACCAGTCCCAAAGGATGTGTCTCACCCTTAAGCATAATCCCCACCTAGGCGCCCCTCTCATTTCTTCCCAAGCTGCTGCAGATTTCAACAATGGTGGATCGAGTACTGTAGCGAAAATTGCTTGGGCAAAACTGATATTTATCATATCGGTTCTGGTTCAAATCGAGTGATTCCAAGCAGTGGAGATTGTTCTCCACTTCAAATACCATCGATCCACCAAGTTTCAGACAATTTCAATGCCGGAATAGTCTCCTCCAACCAACTGAATATGGCCGGCGAACACTAGTTGGTCGAGCATGGAGCTACAGGTGTCCAAATTGAACAAGACCAATGCCAATTGACTCCAACTAAGCAAGTGATTGATGCCAAACGATCAAACAACAACTACAATGAACCAATCATCACAACAATTCAAAAAAAAATCTGCAGAATTGCAGACACCAGGTGTTCGACGAAATGCAAAAGTCAGTTTTAACAAGTCTTGCCTTCATTGATTTTTGAAATTGGGGGGTTAAATTTTCTCAAAAAGTTCTTATCTTTTTAAAGGAT